TGAGGTTGTCTCTGAACTGCAGAGGTACAATGATCGAATCCACTCGATTCGCAATCTTTATCATAAACGAGTCATGTCAAATTCATTTCAGCAACAGAATGATCCGCAGTGATCCACTGCTCTGGTAGAACCAGCGGAGACCTGCGAATAATAGACACTGTAAGATATTTCGCATTGGAACATGCCAGAACGGACGAGGTGGACGGCCATCCTGTTCGTTGCGAGCGTCCCATGTGGCTGAACTTTTCACTGGCCGAGCTGATGCCTGATTATCCAGTGATGACAGTCACGTCATGAAAAGCATATCCTATGCAGAAACAGTGAAATGGATTTTTCCCACTGAGCTCATAGGGATATCCACGAACCGATATATGATCGGCTCAAAGTGGAAACAAATCCACTGAAGAAGCAACCGAAAGGCTAACAGAAATACATCTAATACATGCGTCATAAAACAAATCCATCTAAGACAAAGATAAATAAAATAGGACATTTTTGACTACGGATCATTCCTGGAACCATAGTTATTCTGTTGATTAATGATCGAAGACACCAAACAACACCGAAGGCCAGCATCCTACTAGCAAAGTGATTCGCTATAATCACAACGGTTGCGTCACCACGGCACAACCTATCGGAGAGATATCCGAGTTCTGCCTCGATAACAGTACGGATGAGGTAGCCAGATGCGTTGGAAATGCAAATTTTAAAATCGACTTTGTCAAGTGCCCTCAACGATGGATTAAAAAATAGCTACAATTAAGACCAATATACGCTGACTACAAATTCGAATGAAAGGATTGACATGTGTCCGAAAAAGGAGATTAATTCGAATGGGAAATTTTAACAAATTTCAATCAATTTAATTAGTCAGACTAAGCCTATTTTAAATGCGTTGAAGAAGCTTTCACAATAATTGCTGGCGCTTTGGCATGGCAATTCAATCCGGAATTGTTTGCGCTCCTCCCCTGGAGCGCAGATAAATTAAACGAATACTTTTATTCTTGAACACAAAAATGGCCTACCACTAAGGCACTAATAAACGGGTTTACAGAATACTCTGTACCTTTATGGAGATTCTGTCTAACAACAACAACAACAACAAGGATTAGAAGTTCTGCTAATTAACACATCATGAATTTTCCGCCTTCAGATGGGTCAAGGAAAATCTTGGCCCTATGAGACGCCCTCATATAAAACAGCATGGCCATAACTCACCCATTCTCGCACGATCACCCCCGAGCATAATGCTACCCTGTTTTTCGCATTTCTTTACTGATGCTCCGTGTGCCAAATCACTTGCTTACGAAAATTCGTAGTTAGAAAAAACACTATCCAATTTTCCAAAATCGAATTCTGCACCTATTGTTAGAGGCCAGTTCTCGATGTCCTTGTACCACCGCACCCTAGACTAAAAAC